GCAAGTAAACGCTACCAAAACTCAGGCGATGACACTGGGGAAATCTCAGTAACCATACAATCTTTTTATTGGTGACAAATCCATCGAAATTTAACTAACTCTCAAGATTCTTGGCGTTACATTGGGTCGGGATTTGTCTTTCAAGCCCCACGTTGCAATTATGCTGAAAAGAGCGTATACTAAGATAGCCGCAATACGGAGGATTAAGCTCTTTGTTACTTCAGACGTTATGATTTCTCCTTATAAAGCCTACGTGTTACCGCATTTAGAATACTGTTGCCCACTACTTCTGGGCATATCTGGGCACATTTTTACATACTCTAAGGCTTACGTAATATTTATACATATTTTTTAATGTTTGTATATGCATAACTCACATTTTATCTTGTTTTGTATTTTTAGTTTGTCAAGCGTTTTTAAAATGAGCCTCTGACTCAGAAGATTGTGAAAATACTTCCCACGTCTTCTACATTAAATAAACTATTCTAAACTATTGAACAAAGCTGTCTGGCTGTTGATCACAGCTCAGAAGAAGGACCATTTTACAATTAAATTGCACTCTTTTCTCGATTGTATACTGCTTGTTAGGACCTGATATCAATTCTAGTCGATCCTGGTACCACTTTCAGTACCAGCTCAAAGTCTATCGGGATAGCAGAAAAAATTACGTTGGCACTGCGTGAACTATGGGATGGAGGCGCGCGGAAAAGCGTTAACACGGCGGTGACTGTCGCACCGACTTAATTACTTACTAACTTAGTCACTCACTCATTTATCCACCCACTCCCTTACTTACCTACCCACCCACCAACCCACTCACTCACTCACATACTTTCTTACTTATTTACTTAATTTTATTTGGTGCGTTAGCTCAGTCGGTAGAGCATGGTGCTGATAACGCCAAGGTCGTGAGTTCGAACCTCACACGGACCAAAGAAAACAATATTTTTCTGAAGGTCTCTAGAATAATTTACCTCTAGAGGCAGTTTCATCTCACAAAGTTCTCGGTCTGACCCTGTGTGACACCTTGAAGTGGAACGATAATACCAACGACATCATCTCCAAAGCGTCCAAGCGACTGCACATTCTTAGGGTCTTGAAGCGCGCTGGGGTCCCTCCGGCGGACCTTGTCACCATCTATAGCGCCTTGGTTCGCTCTGTCCTAGAATACTCTTCCGTTGTCTGGGCTACCTGCCTTCCTCGCTTCCTCATTGAACAGCTAGAAGCTATCCAGAAGAGGGCTCTGCGAATCGTATACCCTGACCCCCACTATCAACAGGCTCTTGCGCAAGCCAACATTACCAGTTTAGAGGATAGACGCGCCCACCTGTGTCTCAAAGTGTGGTACAATATCAAAAATAATCCGGCCTGCCAGCTGCACCGTCTCCTCCCTCCCGTGCGATCCGAATGCCACTCTCACCATGTTAGGAACAGTAGCAGTTCTAGCCGTTTTCAGTATAGAACAAAACGCTTTGGTTCTAGTTTTTTCCCAGCAATGGCGAAAATCTGGTTATTTTTATTATAGTATTTTATCCATATCCGAATTGTAAATAATTTATAAATAGCTTGTAATCCCAGTCGCTTCGAAACAAATGTAACTTTATTTCTTGTATCATGTAGGCACACTGTAATTCATAGTTTTTATGCCATTATGTGTATTTTAATAAACCATTATTATTATCATTAGTTCAATAACGTTCCACAACGAGGATACTCGCTATAATCTGTGGCAGGGATGAACCACCAAGTTCTATTAAGCTTGATTTAACCAAAATATGCCTTTTTCCAAGCACAATTTCATACCCTCGTCAGTACTTTTTTTAGACCTAGAAATTGGTGAAAGTCCCTTGAAACATCAACTTGAATGACTCATTTTCGGTACTTCTCTTTCTCCTGCATTTGGACTTAAACAGACAAAGTCGCTGAGACGTTCTTGTGATTCCCTACAAAATCATTTTAGTACACTTACTGTAATGGACAAAATCCATAGCCATTTTCGGTCCAAAATTGGCTGAGGAGCCAAACCTTTTGAGGCGGAACACAATCTCGAGCCCAGGGTCATTTTGGCTCCTTGTCAGCAGTATGGTCGTCAAATAATGACTTCTAGGAGAATAGATTAATTCAATTTCTTTGATTGGTTGGTAGGAAAACAATAGACTCCACACAGAAAGTATGATTTACAGAAGGATCAGGCCAGAAGTAGAGTATCAACAACCCCAAATTTAAATTGCTTTTACTGTTTTTACCGTTGTTTGTTGGTTTTTTTTTTTGGAAAAGTTTTGAGTGAAAGTTTAAGTCAAAGTTTTCACATGTAAAGTGCCTGTCGATGGGTGAGAAAACATCCAACCAAAACCACTGCATGCTGCAATGGCGGGAAGGTGTTCTTCATGCAACGATGGATTGCTATCGTTGTTGTCAAAGACTTAAAAGTAGATGGAAACTATTATTTTAATTTCTTTGAAGTAAAATGCAGAAAAGAAGACATTGTAGAGGCCGTGAAAGCGCACAGAAATGTAAATATGAAAGAGTACGTCATCGGAATAGCCTAAAATAAAAAAGAGCAAGTTGGAAATGCTTTCTACAATCTTTTATTCAGCATCAAATTCGAGAAGTTTTCATAATATGTAAAGGAAATTGCGAAGAAAAAGGTTCCGTTCTTGAATAAACAGAAACGAGGTCTGTCACCATCCAAAGCTCAATTAGTAGAGTGCTGCACCGGTATCGCAGAGGTCATGGGTTCAAATCAGTTATTCATCGCTTCACGGCTTTATACGAAACCAACATATTATCTAGCTCCTAGTTGGCTTGTTAGCTCAGTTGGTAGAGTGCTGCACCGGTATCGCATAGGTCAAGGGTTCAAATCCTGTACAGGTCTGATTTTTTTTTTCACGCCTTGTTTTCACTACTGCTCAAGTAGTGTTCATTACTGCAAGGATCGCTTTCATATTCACGTCTTTATCCGCAGTTCACATATATTATTTTTATATATTTACAGTCATTTATTCATCACTTTACGGGTTTATATGGAACCAACATATTAACTAGCGCCCAGTTGGTTAGTTAGCCCGGTTGGTAGAGTGCTGCACCGGTATCGTAGAGGTCATGGGTTTAAATCCCGTACAGGCCCGATTTTTTTTTTTCACGCCCTATTTTCACTACTGCTCAAGTTGTGTTTATCACTGCGAAGATTGTTTTTATATTCACTTCATTATCTGCAGTTCACATGTATGATTATCATATATTCACAATCAGAGTTTAATTCATTAAAAATGAAACTATTTACCAATAATAAGTAACCTTCTGTTTAATATTTTGTTAACGAAACATGAAGATACTGAATTAAAAAAGAATTAAATAGCTATGCTATGGGTTGCATCGCAGACAAACATTCCAGCTGCAATAGTAAAACCTATTATGTTACTACCTACTTGTAGTGTCAAAGCATGTGCCAAATATCAGCTTCTAGAGGAGAGTGATGAACAGTACAGAAGCCTATGTGTACAGAAACCTGAAACTGCTGGCCTTTATCTCTTACATGTTACAGGGAATAGTACCAAGCCTCCCTTGAACATTTCAATTGGAGCAGCTTATTAATTTTACAGAAATGAAAGGTTGAGCTGTTGACTTTCTTGATTTCAAGGCCACTGTGAGTGTATTGTTGTACAAGAGATGGAAGATGGAAGTCAAGTACCTCCCGTGTGTATGATGTATACTTATGCTGGGAGCTGAACCTTGTCTAAAAACTTACGAATATCATCCTTGGCATTGAACACTCCATTGGCAACGTAAGTATCACTTTAGTAACTACAAGCAATTTTTAAAACAAGTTGTTTCAGACTAAAAGAAACGCCATTTTTACTTTATCTCTCCTGTTAGTGAAGCAATGATTTGGTTTAAACCTTGAAACATCATAAGCTTAAAAACTGCTGATGTGAACCTTCCATATTTGTTTTTTTGTTTTTTATTTTATAAAAAACGACCAACTCCTGGCTTGATTTGTCAAACTGAATCATGCAAAAGAAAGAGGCCGGAGTAAACTCAAAGCTTGTAATATTTTCAAGGTTCAAATTAAATCATTGGTTTACTGTTCCTCGTCATCTTTGGGAGGGATGTGGATATTTGATTCGTATGCATGTGTTTTCAGTAAACTTAGGTTCAAGTAATGTTTTGAAAATGTTGCAAAATATAATGCATCAAGTACAAATTTTCATTTTTGCCTTCATTCAGTTATTTTGGAACAAGAGAATAGTACAATACTTGTTGAATTATTATATTCTGAATTAAATAATAGCAAAGTATACTTCAAAGGGTCAAAAGATAATTTTTCAAACAGGAAAGTATCAAAGTAGTATCAATAAAGAATCTTGTATGGCATATTTTCATAGTTAAGTGGATCAAGGAAAAGTTAGAAAAGTTGTCTAACAAAAGGTAGAGCGCCCGCTTTGCATGCGGGAAATAGACTATCTTTTTTATCTCATCACTGATCCACCATTTCCATCTTTTCGTCTTTTTGATGAAGTCCAGTTCACATGCACTAAATTTAAACGCGGTAACAAGAAGAAAGTCTATGGATACACGCGAAGCAGCCGCCTTAGCATTGCTTTTTCACAATGTCTCTAAGTCTCTTAGTCTGGTCAATATAAGATTATGATGGAGTTATTGAGGTTTCTGTCTTTGTTTATCGTTGTAAAAGACAATTGTTATTTGGATATTATTTAAATATTTATTGCTTTCGATTGATCCGTTGTGACGTCGTTCAAGGTCGTGAAAGACATCTACAGGGGATGAAAACAATTTCCAAACAAAAAATTATAAGAAATAAGAAAGTAGCTGGCGTTTACTTTGGTTGGGTTGTGGGTAATTCCTAGCTGGTATAAATGTCCTAACTTCATTATTGATGATCAAAAACCATGATCAATGCTGTAGTACAAGTAAGTTTTCTTTCCTATTTCTTTTTAGTCGTCTCATAGTTTCCTCCAATAACAATCTAAAATAGTGAAGGCGCCGCAGCTCAATTGGTAAGAGCGCCTGTCTAGTGAACAGGAGGTCGTGGGTTCAAGTCCCATCGGTGCCTCTTTTATTTTTAGACAAAAATAGTTTGCAAACTCACAAAATTAGTAAATAAAGTCTTCTCTATAAGCAGAAGGGAAAATAGATATATTGCGATACAGCAAGCTTTCTTTTTTCAAAAGAGCGAGGCCTTATTTGTGCAATCCAGAACTCATAAATGACGACAGCTTAAACAGTCCCCCTCTATCATCTCTATCATCTCGAGAAGGATCTGAACAATAGGACAAGGTTTATTAGATTTGGTCTCTCTGGTGACAATGGTCGGGTTGTTTCTGCTTCCGTTTTCACATGCCCTTCACCGCTGTTGAGGCGGACGGGATGACTTCAACACTACATCAAGGAATCGAGTTGATCACGGGAAGAGAAATTCCATATCTAACAAAACCATCTATTACTTTCTTTATTATATAAACACAATAGCCCTATACTTACAAGAAAAGTCGACTTTATTGATGAAAGAAAAAAATGGGATCCATCCCCGAAAAATTCTTGAACTGCCTTTCTCGATAAGGCTCGAGAAGAAAAAATGCGTTGAATCATTACAAAAACAAACAATTGGCAAAATTTTCAGTTATTGACTTTTTCCTACCAAAAGAATAAGTTTTTCAGGTACACGGCCAAAATCGACCTGTTGCAAATCTTCCAGTTGTCAGTTTTCGTTTTTAGCCGTGAGAAATGCCATTAAAAAAGCTATAAAGCACGTAACTTTCGTCTTTTCTTTTCGTATTTTGGTTTTCTTCCGCTTCTAAGAAATTTGGACTTTCATTTCATGCAAGTGATATGAAATTTTTCGTGTTTTAGCAGTCATAATCAGAGAAAATTTCCGTTCGACAAAAGACGGTGGATTGAGAATGGTGAAGGCTTTGCCATTCATTCATCAACATCACAGATTGTTGCGAAAGGTGAGTACGTGTCACCAGCTAATTGGCGATATCGAACACAGGTGGAAAAATTAATGTATTTTTTCACATGTGTTGTTACGGTTTTTCTCAGGGCTAGAAATCTTTTTATAACACCGCAGTTAATATGATAAAATCCATCTTACACATTCCACCACAATCTTAACCTCCTTTGTCGTATTTGTAAAGGCTAAATATACCCAGAAAAGCAAGATTCTAAGAATGCTACCAGTCAGGTCTCCTTGAAATCTAATGACTGAACTGCAGGCCAAATGACGTTGAGGGTTGGGGAATTAGCTCAAGTGGTAGAGCGCCCGCTTAGCATGCGGGAGGTACCGGGATCGATACCCGGATTCTCCAATAGTGCCTTTCATTTGTTTGATTCTTCTTTTGAGAAATGACGCTTATGCACAGCTCAGGTTATATATATAAAGCCATCAAACAGCTAATGTTTATTCCACCATTTTTTCGTTTCCTGATATTTTGGCTTCTAGATTCCAAAGAACCCGGGAAAGGACCAACGAGCATCCATAGAATGAAAAACCCCACCGGGCTCGTTGTGGTAAAAATTTGGGGAAAATTCCCGGCCCAATGGATAAAAGTCTCCCGATCTGCAGGGCACTGTCTTACGATACAAAAGCGCGTTACCTCAATTCCTAAAGATTATGACACTAATAAACGAGAATTTAAATTGCCATCCTTAGCGTTTTGGCTAGCCGAAAGACCGTTTCGCTTAAAAAACCGATCGAAAACTCGTGCATTCACCGCAGAGGTGGCTCCTTCAGCCCTAAGGCTATGGATATTAATCTTAGAAACGTCTGTGAGTTCTCTGAAAGTGTCTTTAATAAATTATCTGGCTCTTGTGTGACTAATCCCCCGGCCTCGTACTTTCTGAAGGGTAGCAAGAACTTAAAACAAAGGTAAATCGTCAGAGGTCAATTTTTGAAGCAAATAGGTAGCCCTCTAAAGCCTTGACAAGAAAAGTCGGACCGTCTGACCTTGCTTCGCGTCGTGGTTTCCTACGCTTATCTTGTGTTCTCCCAACCTCCCGCGTGTGTACATCAGGCTATGTAAACACGGAAACCATTTTACATTTCTTCTCCCTACACTTCTTTCGTGCTCTAGCCGCTTCCTGCGTGCTTTACAACAGAACAGAGCACAGTCAAAGCTTCTCTATTTGTTAAATAAATTGCTTTAACAAACACGAAGTAAAATTAGCCTTGTGTAGTGTTTGATTTACAAGTACAACAAAGGAGGCTATGTGCTTCACTCTATACCATCAGGAGCGGGCTCCTGATACCGTTCAAGAACGTGGCGCTGCGATTTAGCGGCTCAGAAGTGGAATCAAATAAATAAAGATTTTTTTCGGAAAGAAAAAGGAAAAATGAAAGATTCCAAATTCATTTCTTATGAATGCTACAAAGGGGCTTTAAAAAGATGAAATACGACTTTTTCTAGTCACCTAGAAAAAGAGCAAAATCTGTAGTGGCTATCTCCCTGGCGGGGAATCGAACCCCGCGTGACAGGCGGGGATACTCACCACCATACTACCGAGGACCTCTGAGGGATATTGGCTCAATGGATAATAAGTACTTAGAGAATCAGTAGTTTTGAAAACAATTTCAATGATAAGTGCTCGTTGATACCGTGGGAATTAAGAGTGTCGATTTGGAAGATAAAATTTGTTTTAGTTTTTTGCGGCTTTTTGCAAGTATATTTAAGAGCCGGGTGAGAGGAATTGACGGCGGTTATAACTTGAGTGAGCTCTTCTCTGGTAGAGGAGGTACTCCGACGCAGTCGTCAATGTAACGGTCGTAGAGTTCAGGTTTTGGGCCGTGGTATTGACTAAAAAAACGATGTTCGATGAAACCTACGAAAAGATTGGCGTAGCTTGTTTCCATTTTAGTACCCATGGCCACGCCATTAGTTTGTTTGTAGTAGTTACCACCGAATGAAAACCAATTGAGTATCAGTACTTGTTCGGCCGAAGGGAGTAGTGTTTCAGAGCTAGGTTCCTCAAGAGTGTGATGATCAAAAAAATGTTTGAGGGCCCGTAAACCTTCGTCATTGGGAATAACAGTATAAAGATATGTAATATCCATAGTGAAAATAAGTTTTTTTTGGCCAAAGATATTAAAGTCACGAAAAATTTCAAGTGCCTGTTGGCTGTCCTTCGTGTGAGATGGTAAAGTTTTGACGATAGGTGCCATAATTTTGTCTAAATAACTGGAAATAAGTGCGGTGGGACAACTGCAGGCAGAACGATGGGTCGACCTGGGTTGTTAAGTTTGTGGTATTTTTGGCAATGTTTGGTTCATTAAAAAGAGATCTTTGTCGACTTTAGCATAATAGGAGGTGTCAGAAAGTTGCCGCAAAGCTTCTCTTTGGTAGAGGTCGGCCCGCCAAACAACAACTGCGCCGCTTTTTTCCGGCCGCTTTAATGACTAGATGTCTGCGTTTTTTTAGACTTTTTAGTGCCTACCCCTCTTGCACTTATTGCAATAAGTTATACATTTGTGAAACAGGATGACGACTAGGTGACCGATTCCGAGAACACCTCCGCGAGATGGAAAGAAATGACAAGGACGCATCCAAACCAGTCGCTAGACGCTTTAATCTCCCTAATCATTCTAAACAATATATGGCAGTTTGCGGCCTTTCCTTGTATCTAGGCGGTTCAGAAAGCCGCAAAACACTAGAACAAAAATTTATCTTTCAAATCGGCACTCTTAATCCCCACGGTATCAACGAGCGCTTTTCATTCAACTAATTTATTCTTGTTTTCTCGTCACCATACTCCCTCCAATAGCGTAGCTCCACTTTCTGCATACAAAACCCACACACAACCCACAATTCCTCCAATCGCTCTGACGCAAGGCTAACGCTCGAAACGTCAGCTTTTTTTTACTCTTTACGGTGGCCAATTTGCGTTTTCAACTCAGTTGTTAACTCAAAATTACCTGCTATACTCTCTCACCGATCCATATACGGATTGCTGGAATAAATTAAAGTAAAATATTTACCACACCCTATAGATACTCCCAAAATAAGACAAAATATTACTGAAGTGGAACAATCCATAGCCATATGACCATCGTTCTTTGACACGACAAACAGCAACAAAAACATCATTAATACCTTCAGCATCTCATATCGCCCAGACTAAGAAAGTTATGCAAGACATTAAAAAAAGACCAGGCTAAAGCAGCTGTTTCACCTGTATCCAGACTTCCCCCCACCTCGGAAAAGAGGCAAAGTTAAGTGGTCGGGAACCTTATCGTTTCTAACGCAAAGTCAATGAGAATACTTTGCAGATGCACTCAAGACTACAAAAGAAACAATGGAATGGAAGAGAACATTCCCCTGACATAGGATATACCAAAAGAAATCCGAAATCACGATTGATTGGTGTAAGGGTCGAACTTGCGACCTTGGCGTTATTAACACCTAGCTCTGCCGACTGAGCTTACAGACGTCGCATGCCTTTGCCCATTATTGCTGTTAGCGGCAATTTTTTTGCCTTTTAGCCTTACTTTTTTATTTAAATCGCATTGAGTTGGAGCTGTTTATATCCAAAGCTGAAGAAAGTTTGTGTAAGGCAAAGAGCTGAAACAAATTTTTAACTGGTCTATCTTTAATCTTTCACTCGCTCTGGCGAAGGGCTAACGCTCTAAACGTCGGCTTTGAAACTCTTAACGGTGGCCAGTTTACGTTAATAACTCAGTTGATAGTACCAAATTACCCTCCGATAAACGGGGAAGTTTTGATATTGCAAGAGCCACTGTTGCATTCAGTCACTTACCCTAACCCATCTTACTTCAACCTCTTTCCTTCCCTGTACGACTTGCTCACAAGGAGACAAATTCTTATTCCTTCGCGACGATTTTACATTTAAATTTTGTTTGAGGTGGCTTTGAAGAGCAACTAACACCACTTCTGCGAATCTCGGCAAATAATCGCGACATAGAGGTTCACAAAGTGATATAAAACTCCTAGATTTTGCTGCGGAAACGCAAAAAGTGTTCATGAGTAGTGGTGGGTTCAGCAAAGATTTAATTCCAAATCATGACCTCTGGTCATCCGCAGTGTTTGCACGAACATACAG